CGGCTCGCTCCCCGCGCCCCCCCGCCCCCCAGACCCCTGCGCAGCGCGGGCGGGGGAGTGCACAAGGCATTTTATTAAATAGGAAGGGGCGAGGTGGGCGAGCGAGCCCGAGCGCCTTCACTCCGCGTAGACGGCGTCGTCGTCGCTGTCGCTGAAGGCGGAGGAGGAGAGCTCCTCTCGGGGCGTGCAGACCGGGCACCGCCGCCGCATGTCCTCCCAGCACGGCCTGCAGTACACGGCTTCGCAGTCCGGAGTCGGGCACACGTAGGACTCGGACGTCTCCGGTGACTGGCACACCACACAGCGCCGGCGCAGCCAGGGGCGCAAGGAGGGGCAGCGGCGGTGCAGGATGCCCGCCAGGTGGTGGATCTGTCGGGGGGCGAGGGGGCATTACAGCTAGTTGGGGAGCGAGGTTGGGGAAAGGGGCGCGAGGGGAACTGGACAGCGCTTCTCGTCTGAAGTCTCAAGGCGTGACAATGCCCACCTGCTGGAGGAAGTTTGATGGGGCAAAGAAGACCCCCGGAGGGTAAGGGTGCTATGGAAGTGGGTCCTAGAGAGCTTCCCTCCCGCACTCCACGATCGCCAGTGGGAGCGTGCAGCCTGGACTCTTCCAGCTGGTAACAGCAACGACCATCATTTGCACTTTCCCATAGATCATCTTATCTGGTTCTCGGGGTGGGGCTGAGAAGTGCGTGGGACAGATAAGAATATCTCTATTGTGTTCCCCACTTTACAGATGAGAAAGATGAATCTCACGAAGGTTAAGTGACTTTCCCAAAGGCACACAGACAGTAAGCAATCAAACCTGGCTGGACCCAGGCACCCTGATTCCAAATCACAAGCCTGGTGCATTATGCTCAATTGCCAGGAATTCTTCTCCACAGGCCACCTCATCAGGTCACTCTTTGCTCAGAACACTCCAGGAGCCCCACTGCCTGCCAGACAAAGGCAGAACTCCTGGGCTTGGCTTTCATAGCCTTCCACAGTCTGGTCCCTTCTAGCCTCTGCTCCAGCTTACCCCTTCCCGAACTTTCCATCTTCTGCGCCAGTGTCTCCTTAGACTAGCCCTGGCACTTGGCATACCCTTCGTTTGGATTCTTAGTCTTTGCACATTCTGTTCCCTCAGCTTGGAATGAATGCCCTTCACATTTCTATCTGCCCATCAAAATCCAGTTTACTTCAGGACCGGGTCATGGAATCACAGTATGTTCATTTTTTTATCAGCTATCTATTCAGTCCCTATTGTGTTTCACGGGGCATAGGGAATCCGGGCAGTGGAGGGAAAAGTTAAGCAGACATTCTCACTTTTATGCGCTTGGTTAGGGCTGATCAAATGAGAACAGGTGCCACTCGTTGCTTTTTGTTTTGTTTTGTTTTTGTTTTGTTTTGTTGGGCCCTGTACTAAGAAACTGTAAGTAAATTAACTCAATTCAAACGATAACCATATAAGGCAGATATTGTTATTATCATCATCAGCTCTTTTTCCGGTGAGAAAACGGATGGTTGGATAGGTGGTCACTTGCCTAGGGTCAGACAATGACAACTAACATGTATATAGAACTTTCTATGTGCTTGCTCCATGACAGTGAAACTCAGTTAATCCTTACAACAATCAAATGGAGTAGTTAACTCCATTTTACAGAAGGAAAAAACCAAGGTATGGCATTTAAATCAGTGCTCAAGATCACACAGTTGTCACAGTAATAAGGGAAGGGTTTAAACCCAAGCCCCCTGGCACCAGAACCCTACGCTTGGACATCACTCTATCACTAGTCTCTAGTGAGCAGGCCTTACAGAGCTAACCTCCCCACTCTTCAGAGGGCAAAGCAGGTCCAGTGAGCACTGTAGCCAAAGCCATGCAGCTTAATGAGGGAGTGTGAACTAGAACCTGGTTCTTCCAACTCCATGCCCTTTCCATATGCTACGTGCCCCTTCATGAGGCCTCCCTGGCCCCCAGCCCACCTGCCTCTCCTCTCCTATGAATTGCACTGAGCTTCCAGTCTGCAGTCCTCTCAGTAGAACCTGTGGCTTTGCCTTGGGTCCCTCGTTTCTGATGAACTCCTCTTGCTTTTCTTTGACCAGACTGTATCAAATCTGATCCCCCTTTTCTGCCTGTTTCCTGGTGGTCCACTAAGTATCTCAGGTTGGGCTGACTTCTGGGGTACAGAGATGGATATAGCCCTGACCTCTAGGAGCTGGATGACCAGGACCCTTGGCATGAATCATGTCAGAACTCACTGAGCTTCAATAGGCCTGGGGCCTTGGGGGTTGGGGGGGGTGGACTGAGGGAGATCCCTTCCTCCACAGGTCTCAGACCCAGCCAGGAGCCACAGGAGCGCAGGCCTGGACTTACCTGAACCTTCTTCTGCTCTTGTGCCTGCCTTATGATGGCCGCCCTCCTCAGCTGGGTGAAGGCTGCTCTTTTCCTCAGGAGCTCATTGTAGAAGAACAGGACCCGCTTCTTCTCTCGCTGGGGCCAGGGAGAGGAGGGTCAGTGGTAGTGACGGTGCTGGGGTGGGAAGCATCCTGTGGGGAGCTGCATGCGGCTGGTAGCTGGTGTGTGTATGAGCACTGTCAGCAGGGGTGGAGAGGTCAGGGGAGGGTGTACCTTGGGAAAGTAGAAGGCTGCGATGACCCTCCGGAGCCGGTAGCCGAAAGCCTGGAGCAGACAGAGACACACTAGCAGGCCAGTGGGTATTCCAGCCTTCACATAGTCTCCGGCGTTCAGGCACAGGGGCTGAGGCAGACAGGCTGGGGGTTGGGGGAGGCCTGTCAAAGGTCTGGCCAGGATCAGCTGAGGGACAGGGCAGCCCTAGTTGAATTCCCCATCCACTGAGGGTGCAGGTTAGGCCTCTGATACCGTTTTACTCCTGCTTCCCCCTCCCCCTGAAGAGCTGTGCCATGAAAATTGTAGCTGCTAGGTCCATTTGGCTATTTGCTCAACAGATATAGACAATTCCAGTTGTAGCAGGAAGGTCTGTTGGACAGAGCTGCTCCAGAGGACTGGCACCTTCTGGCCCTAAGGCCCGAGCCTTCAGACTCCTCTCACCCAAGTCTGTCATCCTCCAACTCTTCAAGTTGGACCTGATATTTCCTGCTCTGATTCCCCAACCCAAGCAGGCTGACCCTTGTCTCACCACACCAGAGGCCCAGTCCCCCAACTCTTGGCCTTGGAAAGACCCTTGCTCCTCAGCCCTCAACTCCTCTCATCCGAAACCTCAGCATCACTCACGCAAGTTGTTTGCTTCCACCACTGCCTCCGAGGAGGTGTTCAGGAGCCCAATGGTTTTCCGAAGAAGTCGGGCAAGCATGGAGTCTCCCCCAACTTTCACCTCCAATTTATGACTGCCTGAGGCAAAGATTGGGGCATGGGATGGGGGGTGGAGGTAGGGGGTATGTTAGGAATGAATTGGAGTTAAGGGGATGGGGAGAGGTTCAGGCATAGAAATACTTCTCAACTGCACATTCCATCCCTTCACTGAATGCTGACCCCTTCTTATTGTAGATGTAAAGGGGTTGGAAACTGAAGGCCCCGGTAACAGCTGTCAGGTTGCAGGGCTCAGATTTGACCCTGATGAGGGCAGAGAGGGACTGAGACCCAGAACGAGGTGACAAAATTGGAAGAATTGGAGTGAGGTGGGAGTTCTCCAGGGAGGTGTCTCCTGGGGGTGTGGGCTCACTGCGGAAGGAGTACTGCAGGAAGGAATGGTGGCGGATGGTGTCAAAGATGGAGTAGAGAGCCCAGTCCAGTCCACACAGCACCAGCAGCAGCAGCATCACAGGCAGTGTCTCTGACACTTCTTTTATCTGCCCAAGAACAGGAGGGGTAGAGCGGGGCAGGGCCGCCTGCCCTGGCAAGGAGCCCTCTCTGATGCCTTCGCCCTCCACGCTCAGATCTGTGCCGGTAGTTGCCTCCCCTGCCATCCTCACCACATTTTTCATTTCTGAGGCCTGGATAGTGAGGCTATAGGGGAAGATGACAGTTTTCGCCTCAGCTTTGCGCAGCGGCAGCAGAGTCCGTTTGCCCTGGAAAAAATGTCCCCACAGTGAGGAGCACCAAGGGCCCTCTGCCCTCCTGGAGCTTGAGGCCACACAGGGCACATAGCAGCGGGCCCTGGGGCAGGGCCGGGCCCACTCACCAGCTTCTTCCTGCGTTCATCAATCTGACGGAAGTAGGTGCTGATGTAGATGTTGTCGAAGCGAATGTCCCCATTGTAGCTGTCCATGTAGGAGAACGACCTGCGGAGGGTGTCCCCATCTCTTTCCAGTTCTCTGTCCTCCCCCCCACCCCTGGTCTTCCTTAAGGCACCGTCATTCAGCCAACCAGCCAGCACGCACACAGCATCACCTGCACCCTAGAAGCTCTGCCCTGCCCTCCGTCAGCCCAGCACAAGACATCCACACAACTGATGAGACCTGACAGAGGTGAGGCGGAGCCCACGAGGTCCCTGCATGGGACGTAGGGGAAGGTTTTCCAGGCGTGGATCTTGCAAGATGAATATCAAGTGGAGGAAACAGCAGAAGCAAAGGCACAGAGATGGGGGGAACCCTTCAAGGTTTCAGGAATCACCTGATCCATTACGGTTCCCACATTCACCACTTGAGTCCTTACCCATCATCTCCTGGAGGTCCCTTCAAGCAACACTCACCCCAACCACCATTTTCCTTCCCCTGACACACCCTCGAACTCAGCAGTGTTTTCTGTGTGTGTGCGCGCATGTGCATGTGCAACCCTTCTGTGTCTCTCCCAAGGTCCCACATAATACTTGTTTCCTAAGGAAAAGAATGTTAATTGTTGAAAATGTGTTTGAAACTATAAAATTACATTAAATAGTCTCTGTAAACTGTGAAACATAACTTCCAATGATATTGCTTCTGGGACCTTGTAATAATCCATACATTTTTCTTTCCCTCTAAAGTAGAAATAAGTATTCATGCAAAGAAAGATTGTGAGCGCCCCCTTGTGGAGAGACCTGTCGCTACTGTGCAAAGGCCTCCGGAGCCTGGGCTCCGCCCTCTCACCACTGCTGCCCCTTCAGTGAGTGACCTCACCCAGGTTAAAAGCCTGGAAATGTCTTTTGACTCTGCCTCCCTCCTTCCCTCAACAAGCTAGTTCTGAGACTTGCTACACCTTTCCCTTCCTCTGGCCTTCTCAGGCCAACTTCCTGCCATGCCCCACTCCAACCAGGCTCCCTAACCTCTGACCCACCTTGGACTCCTGCCTTCAGTTCTCCCCAGTCCATCCTGCAACTGCCCCCAGGGCTTTCCAGACTGTTCTGGCCATGCCCACTTCAACCTAGTCCTCTGACCTCCACATCCCACAGATGCCAGGATCGTTGCCCAAGAGAACACTCTTTCTCTCCTAGACCATGGCTCCCCATCTGCAGCCTTTTGAAGCCCATTTATGGCTCTTGCAGGGGCACCTCCCACACCTGTCCCACAGCCTTTGAATCATCTCTGTGTCTCGGGTGCCTCTCTTGTCTGCCCTTGACCATGAGCTCCTTGAGGGCGGGAATATGGCTCATTCATCTTTGTTCTCTCACAGACACACACGTAACCACTCACTGGCAGTCGCTCTAGGCCCTACAAACAGGGGCAGACAAAGCCAGAGCCCCTGTGGCTGTCCCTGCCAGCTTCTGCCCAGCCTCTGCCCACCTCAGGCATTTGGGGGTGGAGACAGGAAACAGAGGGTCCAGAGGTCAGTAGGGGACGGAGAGCAAGTCCCAGGGCAGCCCAGCTGGACGCCAGGCTGGGTGGGGTTGAGGACTTTGGTCCAAATGGAGGGAAAGTAGCTGCCAACGCAGCAGGCAGGAGAAAATGAAAGCAGAATTGGGCGATAAAAATGGCACAAAGTCAGAGCCAAGGGGAATATGAAGGGCAAGGGAAACATCAAAAGTCAAAGCGAAAATAAAAAGTCAGCACTGGGATAAAGGCTGGAAGGAGCTAGATAAATGAAGACGGTCACCCTTTTAAGGTGGCGGGAACACGGGTACTGTTTCTTCTGACAAAATGCCCACATTTCCTTAGACTTTGTGTAAACAACGAACCCAGCTGTATAAAAGGCAAAGTTAAAGGCACAAGAACATTCCGGCTCTGACGATCCGTCCTTACAGCCGCCCTCAGGGCAGGGCCCCTGTTTAGAGCTGAGGAGGGGCCTCCTGGAGCAGAGGTTCAGGACTCACGCGTGGAGGACAATCAGGAAGGTGCAGGACAGCAGCGCGTTCAGCAGCCCCAAGACCCACTCCAGCTGGGCCTCCTGGCGGCGCACGTAATCCCGCATCTCGGCGCTCACGTGCTCCCAGCTGGTGTTGAGGCCCAGCAGCGCAGTCTGCTTCTCTTCCTGAGGGCGGGCAGAGGTGCTGCAGCCTCACAGGTCCAGGCCCAGCCTCTCCGGGGCATCTTTCCCCGGCACCCCACCCATGTCCTGTCCCCTGGCTTGTCGCTAGACCTGTGGGAGCTGCAGCTTCCTTCTGCTCCCCTGCATCTGTGCAAGCTGACAGCGTCTCACACCCAGCTGACCGGTCCGCCCTAAAGCAGGGCCATGCATACCGCAGGCTCAGCGCCACTCCTCCCGCTGTCCCCCAACCCCAACACCAGTGCTAATCCCCATCTTGCCCCCTTCCCTCACATCTGGCTGCGTCTTTCCTGTGCCCCCTCACTTGCCCTTCCTCAGGCCC